ATGTACAGTATACATTTGATATCTAGATGTTCATGCTATGTAGAAATATTTGCTATCTTAAATCTTTTTCTTATGTCTGACAAGTGGAGCTGCCCACAAAATGTCACATTTAAAAATCTATAACAGTCTTTAAGGTGCCACCGCGTTTTTGTCTTTTTTATTTGTTCTTTTTTTTTTGACCTATAAAGCTTGCTTGCACAGGCTAACACGGCTACCCCTTCTACAATCACACGTGAAAGCCTCAATATTCTCAAAGATGATGGTGTAGCCCAGCACCCCACCACCACCACCTCGGGTCACAGACTTTGTTTTTCTCCATTTTTAGGGTGCGCGGGGGGGGATAGAGAAAACTGCCTCCTGCCCCCCCCCCCCCCGCTTCTCGCTGGCATGGCAGCGAACCAGCCCACGGCGCGCGCGTCAAGGGGAGCTCTCGCGCCTGGCGACGGACAGGCGACTCACCCACCACCGCCAGACCCTTCATCCTCCTCCGGGTGTGCGCGAGGAAGCCGTTCGGCACCAGCTCCGGCCAAAAGCACAATCAAACGCCAGCACTCTTGTTCTTGATTGGAGGAACTGGAAGACGGTCGCTGGGCGCGGTAGCCAATCCGGGACTGCGAGGGCGAGGCTTTGGGGAAAGTGACGTTTTCTACGGTCGCCGCTTTCCTAGAGGAAAGACGGGGGGGGGAGGAGGGGATTCCTGTCGCCGCAAAGCAACCCAGGTTTTGTGAGACCTGAAACCCTGACGAATTAATAATTACAGCATGGTCGTCGTGGATGCCTTGGGGGGTGCGCCCGACGGCTGCTGCGTAGAAGAATATGGGGGGTGGGTGGGTGTGTCACTCGTATGCGTCTGTACACTGGGGGATCTGAGTACCGAAGCGAAAGCGCTATTTGGGACAATGGCGCTCTTGTCCGTCTTGCCTCACCTTTGGGCCTCCAGTTCGTCCCCTATTAAACGATGGCCATCCGCCGGTTCCCTGCCTCGTCCCTTTGGGCCCCTTTGCGTCGCTCTTCAGCCGCCGAGAGCCAAGTTCCCCTTTCGTCCCCTCTTCTCTCTTTACTACGGCAGGAGGCCATGCAAGGGGAAAGCC